ATTTAAAATTCTTGGTCGCTACATATTTAGTTTTCAACGTAGAAAATATTATACTTTTTTATTGGTGGATAGATGAGAGAGAGAGAGAGAGAGAGAGAGAGAGAATTACTTGGCAAATAAAAACCACGTCTTCTTAAAGAAAATATTTTCATTTCAAGGAAAATATAGTCACGTGATCAAAAGTAAAAAAATATTTTTCGTGGAAAAAATTGTCAATCAAACAACACAAAAGTAAGAAATTAAGTGGAAAAAACACATTTTTCATATAAAATATTGACAACCAATTGCACCATTAATGTCAGAGTCTCTCTCTATTCTTTCCTTGATTTTAAATTTGTTTTTCAAGTCGAAAGTAAGAGAGCATTCATCTTGTGGTGGGTTTACCATTTAGATGCTTTTAGCAGTTATTCGCTTGGCTAGAGATGGAAACTGAGTTCATGTTTTAATACTAATACTACTGAATTGATTCATAGAAGAGACTGCAACTTGCCTAGTTCTTTGTGAGGGTTATTGGGTGAATATGTGGCTTTTTTGTTGATACAGATGAGTACAATATTCTGAGCCTAAGGTCGATTGACGTTTTGATGTCAAGTGGTTGGTTTTTCGAGTCTGTATAGTTTTGATGCATTAGTTGATTTGTTCAGATCTTGAACGATTTGTGTAATAGCAACTATAGGCAACAATTATAGAGGGATTATAAGAATCCCATATCTTATAAATTAGAGAGATAGGCCACATGTACAGGGGCCTTTTTCACAGGCCCCTGCCAGGCCACACATGTACATGGGGTTCGCGTGCAGTTTTTTTTATTACACGTGGGGCCCTCTACTACAGTGAGGGCTTTGTAAGTCCCCTGTGAAGAATACCCGTGTACTTGGGGCTTTATTCTATAAATTAACCCTTAGTACGACCTGTAAAGATATGATCTGAAAACTAACAAAGAACACAAGACTTAATAGTATATCACAGAGATATTATTGAGCAACAAGAAGTTTAAAAAAGATCCAAGAATTCAAAATCAATTACCAGAAGCGATTTATCTGCATCTCAAATTCTCTCCCCAGGATTTCTGAAACTGAACTTGCAAGTAAAAACAGGCTGCTGAACTTTCCCATTGACCTGAAAAACTAGTGGACTACACTCTGGCTCCCCATCAAACTTGAACACAAATCTTGGATCAAATTATTTTACACCACAATTAAACCATTTCAAACAATTTGCGTTTATAATTTTGGATTTCTGATTATAGATCCGAACAAAACAAAATGGAAATCATTCAATTTGGTTTCCATAATTACATATGAAACCAATAAGAAAACATTTGATATGGACTGAGCTCGATGGTCATGTCAAGCATTCTAAGCTCATATTTTATTAAATTGTTTACTTTTTAATTATTTTTTCCTATGTTTTTTCATAGAGAGGTCATTTTATTAGATTCAACATTGATAAGGTTGTCTAAGTTCATTTTTCTATTTAGATTTTAATCCTCGATACCTTTACTATTAGATCTCCATTTTTTTTTTGGTAACAGATTGATTCTTTATCGATTAAAAATCATGGGCTGAACTTGTCGATCGTGTCGAACTAAAGTTTTGTTACGACTTATAAATAAAATCACCACGTGACGTCATGTTTGAATGGTGGGACCAGCCCAATTGGATCTGGATATGTTTTCCTGGCGTCTAACGTGTCAACTGAGCCTTTCATTGTTAGCCGAGGCCTTTGCTCCGAGGCCTAGGGCACCTCCACTCACTATCTGAGGCTCTTTTGCAGGTAGCGATGACCCACATGTGGAGATTTACTTATGATGAAGATCTTAAGTTTGGATGATTGATGTGACTTTTGTGTAAGGTTTATTTGTGTTTTGTCTTGTCAATGTAAGAACATTTAATGTCTTGTAAGGTTAGGAGAGTCAACTTGAT